GGCCGTTCTCGGCTTCCGTAGTCATATTCTTAAAGTTACATGCTTAACAATATTAGGAGTTAAATTACCTCAGCTAAGTTGTGATGTTTTGTCAGTCTTTTTACTTTGGCAGGAATAATCAGCTTAAAATAAACCAACTGCGTGTGTGTGTGGGGGGAGAGGGTTGATTTTAGCTATCATTTCACATACCACTTGTGTTCTCTGATGGCAGATACAGTGATATTTTTTTAGCATTGGTATTTGGCTATCCAGTTTTGGATGCAATGGCTGACCAGAGCGTATTATATTACCATTCTTGTCCTTTAGTGTAAGTATGACTTCTGCTGGATCTGTCTGGAGGAGTGGAAAAAGCACAGCTCATCAACAGGAGGCTACTATCGTTGCACCCGCTACGAGGTCATCCAGCAAGTGGAGGAGCAATCAAAAGAGATGACTGAAGAGGTACATCAACATTGATTCAAAATCCTGTAAATATGACATTTAAAATAGAAAAATGTCATTGTGTTTAAGCCTCTCACTCCAATCTTCTAGCCTACATACATTTAGGTGTGTATTTTGTTTGAAGCTTGACTGTTGCTAGGATAAGCTGTGTAGTATCACAAAGCGGAACAGACTTGCAGCTACGAGTTGGGTCATTGTAATGTGTTCTTCAAGTGGGAACCCTGTGTACTTTCATATAGGAAATATGCTGGAGAGAGCAGAGCTTGAGCTGTTTTGTATTATATTTTAGTTCTAAATGTTAACACTGTTGGACTCATCAACCATCAATCAATACAGCAGAACAAAAGATATTGTCTTTTTGTATTCCAAACATCTTTCTTCCGTGTCAAAGCTTAGCACCTACATTACCCACAATGCATCTTGTCCACCAACAATTTGATTGGAAATGCTAGTTGTTGGAAGCCTCCTCTAGCCTCAAGCAGAGATAAGGATTTTAAAAGTTGTAATCTCCCGCCCAAATCAACGCTGACTAAGGTGACATCACTTGAGGCAATTTATCAGACTTCACACGGCTCTATCTGGAGCTGCAGAAGTACGGAAGCCGAGAACGGCCATGGATTTTTTTTTTTGTTATCTCGTGATAACGAATTAATTAATAATGTGTTATCTCGAGAAAATTATCTTTGTTATATCGAGATAACGAGATAATAAGTATAAAAAATAAAAAAAATCCATGGCCGTTCTCGGCTTCCATAGCAGAAGTACTACTGCATAAATGAAAATAGTTGTATAACTTTTTTGACATATGCACTCCTCAAGACCTTCAAGAGATTATGATGTGTAAAATCAGTGGATGTCCTTTAAACATAGGAATAATGGATTACCACAGCACACTTAACATTATAATTTTGATATAACTTGATTGTATTAGCATGTTGATCCAAACACACACACACACATATACATATGCAAACATCCATGAACAGTACTTGTGTTTTTGTGCTCATAGACTCTAACAGGAAAACACTTGAGTCTATGGAGCTTACATAAGCAAGATGGAAAATGAACAAATACACACACAAGCTTTGTCTAGACTCTTGACTGTGGAGTATCTACAATCAATCCCACCTACCTTCAACAAAGGTGAAAAGGAAGGTCATTCTCAGTCATCTCTTGCATTCCTCCCAATCATGAGTACTGATTTCACCTGTGGCACTACTCACTTACTTTGACTGCTCTCAATCAGAGTACCTACACTTTCCTCTGTGAGGGGGAAAAACATGTTTGGGAGTTTATTGACTGTGACTGCTGTCTCATCACGAATTTTGCAGGCGGAGAAGAAGCACAAGAGCTTTCAGGAACTCGACCGTTTTATGCACTACTACACACGCTTCAAGAACCATGAGCACAGCTATCAGGTAAACAGGCCTGGCTTTGCCTTCCAATGATGTCTGCTTTGCATAGTGTACAAACAGACATGGATGTAACCAGTGGGGACTTGTCATCTAGTGTAAACCTGGCACATGACCTCTTAAATGGGCATACTAGCTAATGCAATATACTGTAATATGATGAAAGTGTGGTATTTTTTTATATTCTGTACATCTACAATATGAATGAAGTCTGCTGCTTCCACCTTTCTTATTTTATTTTGCCTCATATTCTGGCATTTGTTTAATTTGTCAGGCAGTCATCTCAAGACATTCACTCAACAATAAAACGTAACAGCTTCTGTTTTCCTCATAATAGCTGGAGCAGCGCCTGTTAAAAACAGCCAAAGAGAAGATGGAGCAGCTCAGTCGAGCCCTGAGTGGAAGTGAGTGTGCATGTGCAGTCTGCCATAACAGTGTCCATCTTCATTACACATTCAGGCACATGTTAATCTTGTCCTCTGATATTAAGTTTTTGGAAGTAGGCAGGACGGAGAAAAACACAAAGGTGTTTTAATAATGTATTTACAACAGTGAAAGTTATGGCATAGTTATTATTCAGCAGGCATGTCTAAGTTAGGAGAAAGCTGTCTTTCCCTAGAGTCCTTCAAAGCCCCATTTGTACAGGCAAGTACAACCTGTCTAGCATAGCCAAGTTTTGTTATGATACACAATTTCAGTAGATTCTGATTGCAGTGATGTTACTTACATACATCTGAGGGCCAAGTGATGGAGAAATTCATGAGCCTGGCTCAGTTCAAAGTTTGCAATTCATCCTGCACAAAACACTTGCAAACAGGGCTAATTATCCAAAAATTGCAGTTACTATTGTGGATTCAGATGTGAGGTTTTCTTGTTTTCAAAAGAGCATATCACAATTTGAGCATGACACTTAGCTTGGTTGTTTTACCTTCACAAGCTGTAAAAGGGAGATTTTCATTTAACTTAGGCTGGAATAAGGGGTTTATTCTTCAAAAGTAAAGCAGATACTAATTTTTGTTATCTGACTCTCTCTCTCTCTCCCAGGGGAAGGAGGCCCACCTGACACTACATTCATTGAAGATGCAGTCCTAGAACTACTAAAGACTCGCCGCATCCTCAAGTGCTCTTATCCGTATGGGTTCTTTTTGGAGCCCAAAAGCACAAAGAAAGAGATCTACGAGCTTATGCAGGTTTCAGTCCTACTTCTTCAGAAAAAAGACAAATGTTCACAGCAGCCAGTTTAATATGGGCCATTAGAGGTGTGGGGCTAAAGCTTTCTACGTCAAGATCTTCACAATCTGCTCTAGTTATACCTGCACATCTCAGCTTTTAGATAAAGATTTACTGTTATGAAATTTATGAATGCTGGTATAGAGAAGTAATGTACTTACCTGCTATCTTTTATGTGGTGGCCTTTTAAATACTGTAAAATGTATGGGCAAGGCTCCCATAGGTCTTACATAAGGTCTTAAAGGCTTGTAAAGTAGTTACAGTAGCCCTAAAAGTAGTTCACTTTTAGGACTACTTCTAAAGTCACTTTGTCCTTGAACAACTCAGTTTTGGAAAAGATTATTTTATGAGACAAAGTTAAACTTAAAATTTTGTATTCATAGTTCATTCAGTTAAAACGAAAAAAAAAAAAAAGTCTTCCAGCTAGCTCTCTTTCTGTCCTCAGACGGACTTGGAGATGGTGACTGAGGACCTAGCACAAAAGGTTAACCGGCCTTATCTGCGGACACCACGCCACAAGATCATCCGTGCGGCGTGTCTGGTACAGCAGAAGAGGCAGGAGTTCCTGGCCTCAGTAGCCAGAGGAGTGGCCCCCAATGACTCTCCTGAGGCCCCCAGGCGCAGGTAACATACAGACATGCAGCTCACTTTACAATGAAAAGTATAGTATAACAGAACTGTAGTTTCAAATGATCAAAAGTGACTGTTCAACAATTACTAACATTCTTGTACTGACAAAAATGTCTCTTCCTCACTCACAGTTTTGCTGGCGGAACGTGGGACTGGGAATATTTAGGCTTTGCATCACCTGAGGTAACAGAACAAGGCTTCATTAGTTTCCAGTGAGGGCTTGTTAGTTACAATGTCAAATGTGTTGTTTGAACCCCACACTCAAACCAAATGTGCATGTGTCTTTTGAAACCGTATTTTATTTCCTGACAGATGTAAGATTTCGACTCAAATGCATATTTTTTTATTTGGGATTTTACATGTCTGATAATGTATTTGAACAGATTAGAGGTGCCTGGTTATGGCTAAAATAATCACAATTGTATTACTAAAAATTCAGATCACAATCATGATGGATTGACAAAAACTTTTATTGCACTTCAGCATGATAAAGTGACAGAAAACTGCCTTTGACATATGATTTGATAAGTCTAACATCAATAGTATACTGGAAAATAACCATGTCTGAGGCTGAGATTGGTTAATCAGTGTACTTGAAACAGATACCTGTAATTGGTTAGCCTGTTTATCTGTCAATAGGGAGTGCTTGATTTGATGCAGTAATGCTGCCACTAGGCATCACACCTAATCAGGATTAATTAATAGCAGAAAATGATATCATGATTATAATATAGTTAAATTATGCATCCCTACATTATATTTCATTTTATAAAGCCAGTGTGTATATCTATATCTTTTTAATATTGCTGTGTAGCAGTACTGACAAACCACGATGACTGATCACCATGTTATTCAACACACTGGAGCAAGCCAGATGGTTCAGCGTTCCCCTGTGCACCCAGTTGGAATGATTTAAAGTACAGTTCTCTGGCAAACACCTTAGCAGGTTGCTCCCAATCATTGTGCATTAGCGACAGGCGTTTGTAGTTAACTTTTAAAGTCATAAAACTGTCAACCACATAATGGTTTGATTATTGGCCTGCCTCCCTTTTCTGTACAGCTTGATGCATGCACTCAGTACTAGTGCATAAGTCAATACACTGCAGTTACTAGTTTCCATTACTGTTTAGTTGCTAGACTGCAGCAGTTTTTAAACATAGTCTTTTCATCTGAAACATTCAGCTCAACAGCTCCATCACTCCTCAGGCTCTTAGTCTTGCGTCCTTCTGAAGTGTTAAAAACACGACACAAAAATGCAAATCTTACATCAAACCTAAGCCTCTCGGGGTATTGTGCACATCTTTTAACAGCATAAAGCGGGCATTTCCCGACTGACAGGAAAACCAATGACAAGATCAGTCTGCCAGTTTGATAAATGAATTTTGAAAATCTTGATCCTCTGCCTGCTCAGCACCATGCAGTGAGGCATAGGTAAAGCTTTTTTAAGCCTCTGTTCACTTAAAGTTTACTGAGTGAACAGCCACTACTGGACATTCTTTTTAATCCAGACATCCAGGATATCTGTAATGAGTTCAGGTGTTTTTTGTTTAGCATTCTGCTAATCATAAAATGTGGCATTTTTTCTTGTATGTAGTACTTTGACAAAGTAACAGAAATCAGTTCCTACGTGATCCAGACGGATCCTCTGTTGTCTCACAATTATAAAAATATTAAGCCTACATGACATGATGTTTCAGGTTATCTGACCACTCACTGGTTGCTATTCT